AACAGCAACGTTTCTGTACGCTTAAATTAACATAATGTTCTTTATTTAATTTTCGATATCTAAAGAATCAAGTTAATACAATCAAACAATCGACAAATTAGTTGATAGAATCAATCATCAACCAATTAAAAAACATACAAAAAATCAAACGATTTAAAATATTAATACAATTACAGAAATTATTATACAGATAACCACCTATGGAATTTCGGGACTTTGAGTATCTATCTGAACTGAGGGGACCGAGACGACTTCAACGATACCATACTTTTGGACCGGAGACGAAAAATAATAAAGTTGTCATATTTTTCTGGTGATCGCGTGATATAATTGTGCAGTTAATGTTACCTATGGTGAGTAAATGGCGGCTCGTCTCTGATTCCAGCAAACAGAAGAAAGGAAACAGTGGGGACGCACGTTCTGACCTAACCTAACCTATTCTAATAAATTACCATAATTATTACCAACCAAATTATTAGAATAGGTTAGGTTAGGTTTGAACGTGCGTCCCCACTGTTTCCTTTCTTCTCTTTGCTGGAATCAGAGACGAGCCGCCATTTTACCCACCATAGGTAACATTATCCAATTGTGCAGTCTAAAGATTGGTGGCACTGAATTTCATAGCAATTGGTTTCTGAGACAAGCACACCTATTTGTGGTACATTTATTTGTGGCAAAGATCTTATTTTCACTTTGCCGAGTGCCTAGTAGGTAATGTGCGGATTACTAGATACTCTGCACATTATCTAGTTAATTTGAGAAATGGAACAGTTTTCACAACTTTAATGGATCACGCTAGGTAATCTGCAGATTAACGAGTTTCGAGCTTTAGCGGTAACATATAAATAAATCAGAATGTGTGTTGTCTGTCCTCTATATACTTTTAAACTCTTTAACCGATATGCACCAAATTTTTCATACTTACTCCCTTGGACCTGCAAAAAATGAAGGCGACCATAAAAATTGGACACTCCACCTTTGATTTTATCCCCTCTATTATTCCTAAACACTGACGAAGTTCTCAGATAGGTCTTCTACACTACAAATTAATATTGTTGTCCTTTTATTACAATATGTATGGCTTTAAACACGTATAAACGAGACTTAATTCATCGTCTCCTCGATGAAATAACTTTATATTCGTGTTAATTTGTCATTTTTAATAGAGTTTCCTCGATATAACGAATCATATCTTCGCTTGGAAGTGGATAGTATTTAATTTGTTACGGGGTTTATACACACACACACACACACATACACAAATTGAAAATACTGCTTGGAATCTATCTACACATTACATTAATTCGGTTGCTGAGCAACAGAAATTTACCAGGATGTAATTGGAGATGCTTCTTGTTCTCGTGTCCCCCTGCCTCCCTGGAGTCAGCAGAAACACGAGTAAAGCCCTCTCACTTGTTGAAACTTGGTATTATTGTCAAACAAGCGATTTGAAGAAGTCTTTGTTATGTTCTCGGTCTATTTTCATCAGTTAATTGTGTTTATTTGTGTTTATGTACGTGTGTGTTTGTGCACAGAAACAATAAAGATGTAATGAATAAATAATTATTTTTAAAATTCATGATTTCTCTTAATTAATAGAATTCATTAATTCTACTAAATAAACACAACAATTATTGATCTCAGACCAGATGAGGATGTTATTTTCCTTAACCGAGTAAATTAAATTTAAGATAAATTGACTACTGTGAGGAGAATATTAACACAAAAGATGTTTATCGACTAAGAAATAATACTTTCAATAAAGAATTTCCACTATTTACCAAACTGGGTTAATAAAAATTACATTCGGACATCGATTTAGCAATTGGCACTAAATGGACTTCGGCGCTAAACCGAACAGCCTCAAACAATATACGGTATATGTAACAATGAGGTGTTCGAGATGGTCGTAACAATACACATTTAGTCACTCGCATATACTAGAGTTCGGTATTTAATGTTTATAGAGAAGAATATTCACGGGTATTCGTTGAAGTTTTACGAAGATGACTATCTAGGAAGGCGCTATCTCTATATCCGATGACTCTAAAGTTAACAAAATCCTTTAAATTAGGGAATTATTTTTTAAAAATTTAAGCAATATTTTTATTATACAAACGTAAAGGATTTTTAATGCCCATTTTACCGTTTTATACGAAAATTTCGCATAAAAAACTAAATTATAACCAAAAAAAATTCATATTATATTTTTATTCTTTATTAAACTAATGAAACAATTGGAAAAGAAGAAAAAAATCATACATTAGGCGCATGAAGTATATTCGAAAGTATGTTTATTCATGCTTCATGTTACATAGAGTTGTTGGAGGATCAATGGCTACACGACATGCACTAAGTGATCATCCATCATTGCCAGCACGTGACACATGACCAAACACAATTTCCCCATCTCTATCATTTCTCTTGTAAATAAAGTGTTAGATTTATTGACTATTCCCGAAGATTTGTTTCTATTAAAGGATTTAATATAACTTTCTTTTATGCTAAAAGTTATTAAAATTCGTAATATTGAAATATTTTAATTACTTACCCTACAATGTCGGGGGGTGGTACGTTTTTCAAAGCTTTAATCGTCGGCATTTCGAAGGCTTCACCACTACCAGGAAGTTTCCTATAATTAAATCATGCTGTGAGTTTATATATTAAATATTTTATTAGAAATATTTATTAAAAATCGTTAGTAAACAATGCCTGAAGCAAGACAATGAGAAATATTATATTATAGATTTTTCTACGGCTTATAAGTGAAGAAAAATGAATAAATAAATAATTTAAAAATCGTAATTCGATAGTAAATTTAATAAATTAATAATAACAAATAAATTCTTTCCTTGTTTTCTTAATTTAATAACGTTAATGAAGCCATTTTATGTATTTTATCTAGAAATCGCCCCTAAATAAGTCAGGATCGATGAGGAAACTGTGTTATCTTTCTATGTACTTCTTTTTTTATTTTTTATAATAATAAATTTATTTAAATATAAAAAGAGAGCTTAAAGCTTATTAAATTGTCTATAAGAAGCATATTTAATCTTTAAAAAACGGCATAAATAAGGATACGTTTAAGGTAAATTACTGCGCATTATACACGGGTTTAAACCATTTTTACGACTTTCTCCTTCGTGTAATTAAATTAGTAAGTTGAGGATGGGAATCGATAAGAAATAAATCGACACCCGATTAAATTTATAATCGAATTAATAAATAAAAATATCGAATTAACTTATATAAAAATCTTGTGAGAGATTGAATGTAATATATATATATAGAAGAAGAGAGAAAAGAGAATTGTAAATCCTCATTATATATCTCCCATGTGGAAGAAAGAAGCAAGTATAATCTGACCAGTTGTGGTTAGATTTCCTTCTTTGTCTGATCGGAAAATGTTCTCGCTTTGCAATCTTCTAATCCTATTAACTAGTCCGGATGGAGATAATGTGTAAGCTGTATCACTTGATCCGTATATTTCTTTAGAATTAATAAAAATATTTGTAAAATATATATATATATATATATAAACTTATATTTTTCTCGTTTAAATTCTCACTTTTAATAAAAATAATTTATTTTTTCTTTTATTCTTTCTCCTGTCAGCTTCTGTTAAGTAGTTTTTACGCGAAAGACAAAATTAAATTTATGTAGATTAATATAAAAGCTTTAAAAATGCTCGTTTATTTTCTGGAATTTTGAATTAAATCTGTATGATTTAAGCTTTATAAACGTGGCTCAAAAGTCAATTAACCGCAGTTTTGATTACGAGCAATTCAGCCTTTACACCGGTTAACTAAATTTTGCGCCACCCCGAGTATATTGTGTTTAAAACTTAAATTTTATGTTTAGAAATGTGGATACTAAAGAAAAGAATTGTATCAAATTTTTCAGAAAAAAATATTTTTTCTTTTTTTTAATGAAATGCCTAATTTAAATAATTGGTTAATTCGTTTTCCATATTTATGAATCTGCATTTACGAATCGAAATTGTAAAAACATGAAACGAAGTTTTGTATAATTAAGTTAAAATTTTAGTTTTTGTTTAATATATTTTTATTATTTTAACGAAAATAAACAAAAAATTAAATTTGACTTAATTACAATATGTGTTTTAGTTTTTTTATTAGTCTGAGTAATATACCAATAAGAAACATTCTTAAACTAACGATTAAAATCAACCTCCCAGCAACGATCACCTCTAATCCGCGGCCTTTTCTTTCAGGCAGGTTACTTTTCGAATTTCACAGAAAAATAATCTCCAAACAACGACCATTCTTTACGTTCCCATCAGTTTCCGCTGTTCACAGGTTCGATCGTATGTGTTTACTATTTGCGCAAAAGAGAAATTTTGTATAATTCCTTGAGAGCCTTTCATACTAGCGAATTTTTTTTACTGTATGATCTTTATATATAAACAAACAAACAAAAAAATAGAATAAAACCCAAGTAAATAAGAATTTTTCGGGATGAAAAAGAGGAAGTTATCCACATAGATTTAGTTATATATAACTTATATATATAAAAAATATGGTTGCAGAAAGATGGTTCCAGATGATGAAAGATTGGAAATCACAAGAGAATAGAAGAAAGAATCACGCAAAGACTAGTTGCAGAGACGAGGAAAAAATAATAAAAGAAAAACTTGCAGTGAAAGGAAGGAAAAAAGTCTTATAAAATAAAATAATATTCTAAACATAAAAATCTTCTTGTAAAATTTTACACAAAGAAATAAAACTGTTTCACTGTAGAAAAAAAAAATAGAAATTAATTAGAGAAACGTGAAGTTGTATTTCCGATTTTTTTTTGTATGTTTACTTCATTTAACTTTGACTTTTATGATTAAAATAATTTAGAGATTAAGAAAAACACTTTAAATCAATATATTTACACAAATATATTCTATGTAAGGGTATATCAAGGGCATATCAAGATAAAAGATATATCAGATTTATCGAGGAAAAACGTATACTAAGCCACCTAAAGGATACTGTACAGTATATCAAAGATATATCAAGGTAAAGGTATATCGTGAATATCAGATAAGATATATCAAGGGTATATCAAGGTTAAAGTATATCAACATACAGATAAGGGACAAAATTACAAGAAATATTATAGAGAACTAATTAAAATTTCTGTGAAACACATCCTTTATGTGTTACTCTCCACAGTATCTCTCATGTTTACGAATGATCTCACACGCTACAAGTTGCAAGAAATCTATGAAGAAATTAGAGAATATTCTTTAGTATTCTATGTAAATTATTTCAAATTCAAATTTCATTCAACTGTAAGATCAAAAACCTTCACAGATCCCATTCAAATCAATAATGGTTTCATTTTTTTTTTTAATATTTTCAGAATTTGGCGATAACGTTAATGAAGCCATTTTATGTATTTTATCTAGAAATCGCCCCTAAATAAGTCAGGATCGATGAGGAAACTGTGTTATCTTTCTATGTACTGTACAGACCATTTAATACGTATACAATATGTCAATGAATATTTCCATTGGATGGAACCATAATTCAAAGTCATAACCGAATGAAGTTGGATAGGACTTACATATTCAAATTTTTAAAGAGAAAATTTGCAAACAAACAATACAGCAATATAAAATACAGACTAGAAGTTTAATTCCTCTTCAGTATTGATTTGTTCTATAAATTTTCTCTGTGTATCTACAGTAATTTGGTATTATATCGAAGTATTTTGGTACTGTATTTACATATTGCATATTGAATAAAACTTCATTTCATGCTCTATGTATAATTTAAGTTCTTTTCCCTCTTATGTTTCCAGTATATAGATGATGCTCTCATTAATAAGAGCATCTTCTTCTGGGGGGTTTAGTTTGTATTCATAAATTCAACTCCCCCACTAATCATTTCCCAAATCTTATCCAACCCCCATGATAAGAAGATGATAATTAACTCAATTTCCAAAAGAACATTTGTTATAAATTTAACACAGTAAAGACGGAATGGACCAAAATTCAGTTAACTGTATTATATATATTTTAACGAGTTAAAACAGGTTTGAAATCCTTCCTTAAAACGAATAAACTTTCGTTAATCGACTTATGCACGAAAAATAAAGTGTAAAACATTATTTTTATACAAAAGAAGATAAATATTTAAGCTTTGTTTTCGTGCAGGTATGTAAAAGTTTAACCTTCATTGAGCTTTGTGTTAAATTTAAATTCTTTTTAAAAATAATCCAGTGATAAGAAATAGAATTAATTGATACAAACAAATGCTGGTTTATACACCTGATAAAGTTTGCTGTAAGTAATTGATGAAAGCCTAAGCCTTACCTTCTATCTCATCCCTTCTCTTCCTTGTTGACATAATCTCGCCTCCATGTGTTATGGTACCTTAATCTCGACTTTCCCTGATCGTTTGATGAAATCATAAAAATTTAATTATGATTAAGAGGTTTTATTAAGACTAAATTGATTTCCCTACTCTCTTCTGATCGTAAAATAAGATTATAAAATGTAATTTTTCCCCCTTCTTAATCAAGCATCAAGTGATTAAGAAGATGATGAAGATGATGGAGGATGCATGGAATGTAAGAAAAAGTCGCTAATTAAAAGTGAGAAAATGCATTTATTTTCAGTATTTTACCTGTTTTTACGCTGATTTAAAGTATTTTAAGTCATTTATTTATTTTTCACAACAGTATATAATGAGCAGATGCTTAACTTTAAATGAAAGTTTTATGTGTAAATTGAATTGCAAATTTTTACAGTAATTAAAAAGTATTTTGAATTCTATTAAAATTATTTATAACATATTAATGATAATTATTCATTTTAAAACAAATTAATCAAATAAAAAAGGATTGACTCAAAAGTAGGTTAACCGAATTATACAAGAATACCACCAACTCGGTTAACTGAATTTTGGTCCGCTCTTTACATTTGTAATTTTAATTTAATTATTTAAGTTCATCAACAAACGATTTATTCGGAAATTCTTAATAAATTATTTTTAATTAAAATTTTTAAAATCAATTAAATTAGTTTAATAAATTTAATTAACAGATGGGAAATTAATTTTAATTCCTGATAAATTTCTTACTGTCAGGAGAATATTTTTATCATATTCAGATATTGTAAATTGCTAAATTTATTATTTCTTAATACAGAATTTAATTTTAATTTTTAAAAAAATGTTATGTAAAGTCGAATTTGCATAGATTTAATTAATCAAAATATTATATTTAATATTTAATATATATTTTTGAAAAATTAAGTTATAAGTCATTGTTAGATTAATAAATATTTTTTAAATAATTGTTAATCTGCTTCAATAATTTCTCATCTATTGTAAGCATAATATAGGAAATTCATTAAACTGCTTACGAATTTCAAATTTAATAAACGATTATTAGGGAGCAGGGCCTACTCAGGGATCCAGGTTGAAGAAAGGAAAAGAGTGTGTGATGGAGAGAGATTCGAGAGGGAAGAGCTATTCGAGTGTCTAGGTCGAAGAAAAGAAGAGGGTGAGTGTGAGGCGTGAGATTCGAGAGGCTAGAGATATTCGAGTGTGTAGGTCGAAGAAAAGAAGAGGGTGAATGTGATGGCGAGAGATTCGAGAGGCTAGAGATATTCGA